ATTTTATTTAAAAAATGCAGTTACAAAATTCCTAGTTTGGATGAAACAGGATGTGTAATGTACAAGTCCAAACATAGTCAAACATCTTACAGTACGTTCACTCCTGCATACACACATTAGAAGGACAAGAACCAAAAATAATGGGAAAAGACTAAAGAAATGTTATACTATAAAAAATAGGTTTTAATTCAAGACATTTAAGACAAACCACAGATTCAGCTGACCTGACAGTATATGACAGGGTCACCTCCAGTAGAAACAGAACTGGACAGAAGGGGAGTATGGTGTCACAGTGAGGAAATGCGTGGAAAAGCAGTTTGTTCTGCAGCAGGAGGAATGTAGAGAAGCTAAGTGCTTAGCTTGTGTAGTGATGACAGATGAGAACTCCATGGTTAGCTCATCCTTTTTCTCCAGTTCCTGCTTTACCTGGCGGAGGTCATCTTTTAACTGTGTCATAATAGTGCTTAACAGCTGTTGAAGGTAGCAAGCACTTAGCAAGCAGGCTAAAAACAAAACAAGGAGCTAGGCTAACACTGACCCCACCTAATAAAGCCACCAAACCAGGTTTCAGGAAAGGTGTCAAGTTGCAGCGGTGACAGTAACACAGTAGCAAAGTGATCAAAAGGAAATGACTAAATCCACCAGAACACAAAATTCAAGAAAAACTGGCCTAGAGGCCAGTCAGTGACTACCTGGCAATTACCAGTTAGAAGGAAAAAAGTTTATTTCCTAACTAGTTAAAAGTGTTTGCTGGAGGTTAAACAGGCCTATAGATAGGTCAGTAACCACCTAGCAACCCCCTGTTTCTAGAGAAAAATGTGTATTCCCCAACCTTGTGATTGCTTTCACTGCTAGCATGCTGCTGTGGTCATCATTTGAATGAAAGTGATTTGTCTACAGACGTCGTCTAGTTAACCCCTTTTTCCATTAATACCTACTCGGATTGACTCACCATGACTCACCCACGTCTTGACTCAGATCGACTGGTTTTCCATTACAACTGAGTACCACCTAGTGTGCATGGTCATTGTTATAGAAACAGGGCGGAGCGTCGATAAATACACGGTTAATGTATGAAATGAACGCTACAACAAAGGTGGACATCGAGGCAAGAATATACCTGCTGTTCAGTCTGTGGCTTTTCATCAGACTTGGGGACCATGGCATTGTTTTTTGTAGCCATTTCCCCTCGTTACCGGGTTTCAAAATAAGTGTTTTTGATTTTTGTGAATGGGACGCTATCATGACTCATTGAGCGATGCCCCTGACTAGCCAATTGGTGGCATGCAGTCTGACCACGTCACATTTTAGCAAAAGCTCGGTTCACTATGAACCCTGGCCAAGCAGCTACTATGTTAGTACCTGGTCCAGATACTATGACCTAATAGAAGACCCTGAAAACCGTGGCGAACCATGGCAAGTCGATCCGAGTAGGTTCTAATGGAAAAGGGGCTTTTATCTCAAGCTGTAGTAGAACTGTGAAAAAAAGTGGCGACTGTGTGTCTGCAAAGTATAAGTTGTGCCTTTTAAAAAATGTGGGCTGCAGTGCTGAAGCTCCTTGTTTAGACATAGAAATAGACTTTATTTATCCCACACTGGGGAAATTCATATTTTACAGCTGCACAAGGGTCAGCAAGAGAAGTGAATTAGAGACGTATTAGAGAAAAAAAAATCTTTGCATTCAATTACACCCAACAGCCTCCAGGAACCATTAATGACCAGTTGTCAAGTGATGGGTGTTTTTCATCATTATTGAAGACAACTTTTGAGCAATGGGCTCATGACATGAGAAACCGCAATAGAGACAGCTGTAGAAACACTGGATTTGGGAAATTGCTAACATATGTGAAATAGTTCTGTGCTGCAAGCAGCAGGAGCAGTCTATGCTGGAAACTTTTGAAGGACCACTCTGGACCTGTGCGTGCTTGCTCACTTAGCATTTCACTGACTGAAATATATATTATGTATATCTAGATATAATTTTTTAAAGTACTGAGATCCAGAGAGTCCAGGACAAGCATTTTGCATTGCCATTAATTGGTACATCATGTCTTAACTTATTGGTTTGATGATGAGCCATTGGATTTGTGAATATTTATTTGCTGCTTTCCACATATTTATGGTGTTGTCAGATGTGATAAATCATGAGCATTTGATGTACTAGTAGCACTTAAAGAAATACCAAATTTTTTAAAAGAGTGCCTGGCATTTACATAATACAATGTCATAAAATGGTTGTGTTTAACAACACTGGGCTGGTTACTCACACTGACAATGGTCCAAAGTTACAGCACAATAAAAAATAGCACCTCTTATTTGTGCATTCAAGTGCTCCTCAGGTGGTCCAATTTTTGGAGTTTGGAAGTCATTTTTCAGAGTTCTGTGTGTTCATGTGCTTTTACAACACTTCCTCACCCCAGGGTGTCAAATTATGCCTTTTTGTGAGATGTGCCTGGGGTTACAGAGATGCATAAGATGTCTTTTCAGACTTTCTGTGTTGTTGTTCCGACCTCAGGGGACGTTCATGTGATTTTTCTAGTCAGTATATAAATTTTATAGTATGTGTGCACACAAATACATATTGAGAATTGTACAACCATTAAGCCTTTGCATTTGTAATTATGTAATTATGTAATTATTTTAAGCAGCAGTTTGTTAGATTTGCTCACCATAAAGACTGAGAACAGCTTGCTTAATTATATTTCCTAAAGTAATAGTTCATCCAGCATCTCTGAAGTTAAGTTTGGTTTAACTTCATATGCTGGATCTCAGCCCTGCACTTTTTAAGTCTTTATATTCAGCAACGCTGCAGACACATTAGTGTACAAAAATATTTCACTATACAAGATCTGTAACACAAAGATAGTACCAGATTAACTACACACAATTGACATCAAACACTGTAGCAGTGTACCCGTGCATGTAATGCACAGTAATAGATGAACATTTGTGGTTTTAAAAGTATTCAGTGTTTACTTTTTCCATCTAAGAATAGGATTTCCTTTCTATCAGAATTTTAACCAGGACCTAAGAAAAGCACATTTTCTCCTTTCACCATATACAATGTTGGACCTGAAGCCAAACCTCACCTTCCTCAGACCCTCTTTATTCCTCAGACCTAAAAATTATGCCTATAGGCCCTACTTGCTTGATTCATAATGAATGTAAAAATCTTCCGGTTGTCACAGCTGATATCTCAGTGATCCTACTGAGCCCATCTATCCCCCCTTCTTTTGGACTAATAAGTAGATACAACTTGTATAATAATATTTTATTTTATGTATATATGAATTAGTATAATATATTTTAAACAATATTCACAAGAAGTTATACTCAATAAAATGGGATGAAACTTTTATGGAATAGAATAATTTAGAAATCATAGGAAATGTAAAATATAGAAAACTGTGAAATATAACATTAAGCTTTGGTGGTTCTCCTCATGAACTGGTACTCCAATTAAGGTTACAGTTTAATGCTGCTGAGAGCAAACGTTTTATTTTTTGTCTCGAATAAACACAACTGCCCACAATAACTGGTAAGAAATATTTTCTGTGTCTTGGATTTGACTTTTGCTTGAACAGATTCTGCAGTCATAAACTGAAAGCCAACTTGTTTTAAATAAAATGTTTGTTTTTTTTAGATAAAAACTTTTATTTTAAACCTTTTTTTTAAATTACTTTTAAATCCTGTATGAAGCAGAGGACCAAAACTGGTCTTGAACGCCTATGTCCAAAAAACCCTTAGAATAATAATAATTAACATTTATTAACAAGCACCCAGGATTATCTGTTAAATCTATCAAAGTCGTGCAGATAATGTGGATGATGTTTTAGGATGGTTTTTCCAAAGTGTACCCCTCAGGTTACTTTAGCGCAGACACCAACAAAGATTGTTACTTGCACTGGGTGCAATCCCCCGCAATAAAGTCATACGTGTAGTGCAAAAATCCTGTTATTCTCCACAGTTGTGACTTTCACACCATGGGTGTGACTGTCATGGTGATTTTGGACTCTTAATGATTTCTTTGATCGGTTCTTTTTCCAGGATGGAGTGATTGTACAGCATGCATCTTTAATGACTTTAAAAAAACAAGAACAAGAAGCAAGAATTAGGCGCACAAGTTTTAAGCTATTTTGGATTTTCTCTAATATACACAGAGTCAAAAGTACATATTCAGGGTCTAAAATGTCCTTTGACTTGATAAAGCAAAGACATATTAACTTCTCATCAGTAATCATAATTGACTACAACTGGTAGTTTCTCTTTTTCTTTGTTTGATTGACCGATACTCAGAACAATGGTAAAATCCAAGGAACAATGAAGCTCTAAAAAGGAGAACATT